AGGAGGATAAAGGGGAGGGGGAAGAGGGGGTTGGTGGCGATGGCGGTGGCGGCGGCAGGGAAGGAAAATCCACGATATAATATTTTACTTGCGTGCATAAAATTCCTCTTATGGGCGCTTAATCCACATGTCAGGGGGGTTGCCCCCATTCGCACGACCCCGTCTGTAAAAGGGAGGAAGGGTTGTCTCCCGGCATCTTTCAAAGTTTACTCTTCCCTCGGCTCCGTCGGATGCACAAAGAGGGGGTCCCCGCAGTCAGGCGAGGCTTCCCAGTCCCCAAAGGCAACCTCGCGGCAAGCTGAGGCGAGATCCGTGAGCTTCGGCCCATCCTCGCAGGCAGCCGGCCTCCGGTTCCTTTGTTTGAGGCTGTCCCGGTGGCTCCGCGTCGTGTGGGAAGTACAATGCCCGGCTCACTCTCCCTCTTGGAGGAGCGTGTGCCCGCTACCCACCGGGGCCTCGGAAGCCGGAGGAGAACTTACCAAGTGGAAGAAAGGCTCCTCTTTCAGCACGTGCTGCTTCAGAAACGAGGGCAATGCGCAAGGCATCCTTTCGAGCCGATGCGCGCCCGCCGCACTTTCCCGTCCCTTTTTAAAATATGCCAGGACGCGCCTTTCCGACCCCCCAAAGGACTCTCAGTTCCTTCCAGCGGCGTTCGCCTTTTTCAAACTCACACCTTTCCCGGGGGCATTTTGCAGGAGAGAGTTCCGGCTCGAGGACCCCTTGGATGGTTGCTCCTCCAGCTGAAAGAGTTAAGGTGGGCGGGAGAGCGAGCGAGAGAGACGGGAGCGAAAGGGAGGGAGGCGGGCAGGCAGAGAGGGCGAGCGGCGCGAAAGGCGGCGCGGCCGCGGGGCGACCTCAGTGAACGGCGGGCAAAGAAAGTGACAGGCCGAGCGAAGGGGACTCGGACCTGCCTGAGGGTTCTGGGGAAAAGACCCCTTCCGGGCGTTCAGTGAGGACTGGGGCTGGCGGGGCGGGAGACTCCTGTCACCTTCACCCGCCCGGTCTCTCTCAGCGTCTCTTCCTCGGTAAAAATAAGTCCAGCGTGTTTACACTGAGAAGGGCAACCCAACGCCCTCGCCGCGCGCGTTCCTCCCCCAGTTCCTGCGTTTGCCGCAGAAAAGCCCGACATAGGGCAGTGCCAGGGGAGAGCAAAAGCTACTTCCACCGGCCCCCCCCCCCCGGAAAAGGGAAGGAATGGGGGGCTGGCCTGGTGGGGAGAGGAACCGGAGACTGGCAGCGGTGGTTCAGGACTCGCTCCAGTTCCTGCTTGTACAGTAAAAACGACACA